GTGTGTGTGTGTGTGTGTGTGTGTGTGTGTGTGTGTGTCAACTACTTCCCACTTACAGGAAGAAAGATCAGAGGCCTTCATACAAATAAATCCTTTATTGGAAACCAAGGAAGGTCAGAGAAGAGTTTCAAGACTTAAAAAGGTGTTCAGGTTCTTTTGGGATATCAAAGCATCTGGTTTTTTGGTGAGAACCTTATTGGCTGAGCCTTGAATGGGTTATTTGGGAGACGCTATTGGCGTAAAAATAATTTAGTTACATACTACGCAGTGTTCTGTATAGATGTACCTTCACCCCATGGAAAACCATACTAGACTCAGTTTGACTTTAATCAGAGTAACAGGGAGGACTCAGATACTTGCTGTATCATAAAGGAATGATAATCATCGGGTCTGGGAATAATTCTTCTCTGGTTGATAAAATTAGGTATCAGCAGAAAGAGTATATCAGGCTTGGAATACATCACCCAAATCTATAATAAAATTGGACAACTCTAAAATATGCTTCTTTTTCTTGTTGGGGGGGTGGGTAGAATTTTCCTTTATCCTTCAAGGTTCCTCCAGTTGGTCTAAGAAACAATCTGATGTGAGATAGATTAACAGGAGGAAAAAAAAAGCCAACCCTAAGTTTACTTACCTACCAGGATTCCAGGAATCCATAGACAGGAGACTCCAGAGACAGACAGGGACAATGAGGTATATATGTCATCCTGAACTAAAGAACAGGGAGAAGGGGTCTAGGACTTCAAACAGGAATATGAAAAAGTAAATGTTTGATCAAAGAGGAATTTTAACAGACTTTGCCACATTCCTCCCTGTCCACACATGTAATTCACATTATGAAGTGTTACCTGTGGTAATAACTCTGCCCCTGGAGTAGGGCCTCCATCTAGATTCTCTTTAGTTGGTGGGAGGGGAGGTCAAAGTGTTTTTATGAGTCTTGGGCCTTGATTGTTTTCAGCTGACATAATTTTGCAGGCCAAAGTGGCACATTTTTGGACATCCTGCCCTTGGCCCTTAAATTCTGATAACATGTTCTTATACATTGAAATTTTGTGTACATAGTGATTTGGCTAACAAGCTTGCAGATGTTGAATTCATGGCCAGTAGGAAAGATTGTCCCATGAAAACATAGTTTGCTGATTCCCTAAAGTAGATTTTTATGTTATGTTTGCAAAGATTTTAATATTTATCAGTGTTTTAGAGGTATCTCCAGATTTCAGTTACTCCGTGGAGTTCTTAGGTGAAGCTTTCAGTCCTGAGACCGATGATCATTAAAGATAGGAAGATAGTTTGGGTGTAAAACTTTTTTTTTTTTTTTTTAATATCAGGAGGTCTTCTGTAGTTTCAGAATTACTGTTCTTTTTCTGTTTATTGTGCTTGGAAATACTGTCTTGAGTTGGAGAGAGCTGGGTTTTAAACCAAAGATTCCATTTCATATCTAGGCAAGGACCTGTTCTGTTGTGTATATATGTGCGTATGTATATATGTGTGAGAGAAAGGGAGGGAGAGTGGGAGGGGGAGAGAGGGATGCGATGTAGCTCAAACAGGCCCCAAAATGCTTAGGGATGGAATTACAATTAAATTTTAAATCCAGTACAATGTATAAATTTTAAATTCCAGAATGATGTTGTAAACCATATCAATGTATTTAAAACTAATTTAAGAATAGTTTTCTTTCATGTTTATAATGTTATCGTCTCTTTTTTCACTGGCATTCGTATTTTTTTTTTTTTAAGTCCATCATGTGGACTTAAAAATCACAATTTACAGCAGGGAACACAGTGAAATTTATGATTTGACAATCTGATAATGGCCATGATTGTCAAAATATGCTAGCCATCCTCTGTAATTAGGCTCATTTGTGTTGTTAAAACTCAAGTTGCATGTATAAAAATACCATTTCCTTCTGCCTGCTTCCTGGCAGTCTTATGCAGGTTTTGTCATTGTCACATGTTTTGCCATAGCAGTGATAAGCTTCTAATCAGGATTTGGTAAGACTTATCTTGCTTCTTAAGCCTTTCAAAGTATATTCAGATATTTTCCAGTGAAAACATAGTAGTTCTCTTATGAACTGATTGGCAAGAAGTGATGCTAAGTTGCAATGTAAATACCAGGACTTCTTAATTTTAGCGTTTATAATTAGAAAACAGGCAATCTGTAGGGCCTTACAGCTTTTACAATTTGAAAAACAATTTCCCGTAATTGTTTTTGTCTTATCTCCCAATCCTCATACCTTTTATTCCTTTCTTCTCTTTTATTGTGAGAGCCTCTACTTTCTAGTGTCATGTTGAATAGCACTAGTAATAGCGAGCAGCCTTGCCTTGTCCTTAATCCTAAAGGGAATGCATTGAAATTTTCTCATTAATTGTGATGTTGATTTTTGGAAAATATCCTTTATCATCTTGATGAAGTGAAAACATTCTAAGTTAGCCAGGAGTATTGCTCTGTTTTCTTGCACCTACCTAGTGTTGCCATTGATACTTCCCTGTCAGCCTGGTTGTTTTCTTATGTGGGTGGGCTGGGCTGCCTTTTCTCTAGAAAGTTTTGTATTATTCTCTTTGTGTTTGAGATTTTTACGTTTCACAATAGTGTGTCAAAGTGTTGTTTTAATATCATATATTCTATTTTGTACTCCATGGTCCCTGTAAGTCTGAAAGAGATCTTTAATTCTATGAATTTCTTGAATATTTTTTTAAAAACCATATCCATGTTTATTTTTCTCTCTCTGGAACTCATTCTGCATGCCCTTCTCTCTGCTGTGTTTTTTACCTTTTTATGTATATTTCTATACTGTTCCCCACCCCTTGTGTTTTAAATTGCCCTTTTCTTTTTCTTTGAGTTTTATTGAGATAAAATCTTTTTCATCTTGTTAATAATCTTTCTAATTGGAGCTGAGGGGCTCACTTTTTTTCCACCTAACCAAAGGTCAAAATTTTTAAGGACAAATAATCAGCAGAATCAACTGTAGTTACAAAACAAATAGTTAATGCAGTGATTAGGAAACATAGACAACTAGTTCAAGTAAACATGGTAAGATGGGAAAGAGCAACTAAAACTTGTTGAGAAACCAAAAATAATCCTTAAGATTGAGAAAGTTGAACCAGACTAAGCAAGTGATTTAAAGAATGGTCTATAAGAGTAAAATGAGACGAGGCAAGCTTGGGAAATGCAAATTGGGATATTTGAATTAATGAGACTAAGGTGGATTATGTTTGTTTCATTGTAATTAAGGAATGTAAATAGAAAATGCTAAACATAAGATGCTCAGCTGATGAACTGATTGATAGAAAAAAGGAAAAAATTTGAATCTGGGACAGCGAGGAATTTCTTAATCCAAAGGTATAAGCATTATTTTGCTGCAAACATAGCTACATAGTCAGAATGTACCATATGCTACACATGTTGTGAGATTCTTCATGTGTACATACATGTGAAACTTAAATAGCACTGCAGGTTGGTATCATTCCATTTTCAAAATAAGAAACGAAGTCTGACAGTAGTCCCTGTTCAGAGTCTTAAAACTGGTAAATTTGACCTAATTTTGTTCATCTAGAGGATACTAACTTCCTTTCTTAAAGACAGTGAAAAGGTTGGTATCATTCCATTTTCAAAATAAGAAATGAAGTCTGACAGTAGTCCCTGTTCAGAGTCTTAAAACTGGTAAATTTGACCTAATTTTGTTCATCTAGAGGATACTAACTTCCTTTCTTAAAGACAGTGAAAAGAGGTGGAAAAAATAGTAATATCTTTTTCAAAGCTTTAGGTGGCTTCTAAGAAGAGAGGAAAGGAACTATTCACAAATGTTGGATTAGGAAAAGTGAGAATTTGGTCACCTGCATTATTTGGCTTTAGAATAAAGAACAAAGCAGATGTAAGGGCAGAGAAAAACTAGAAATACAAAAATCAAAGATGTTAGTTTGAGGCCAGTAAACAAGGGAAACCCTAAAAAGCCCTGTGTTCTTCATTAGTTCCTAAGATTATTACTGTGTTGTACAGTACAATAATCTATAGTAGTAACAGTCAAGGGTTAGTCTGTTTCCAGTAGATGTCTAGTTAAGTCAATTAAAATGGAAGTTTTGGCTCTTAAAATGTTGGCCAAGCTTTTGTTAATTGGAAAATGTGCTTTTATGGAACCCTCCCGTTTTCACAATCCCACAGTTCTGCCATTGAAAAACTTGGCTGAAAAAGACGCAGAGAGTCCATATATTCTTAAAGTAGAAAAACATAACTAGTGGACTTAAATTGCTGAGCTATTAGGGTTTTTATCATTAAGACTGTGGTATTAGTGTGAAGATAGACAAAAGTATGCCAGTGGAACAGAGTGAGAAGTAGAATCACATATGTTACGATTTTGAAAGTGATAAGAGAGTCTAGAGGAAAAAGACTGGTCTGTTAAATGCATGCTCGGACAATTGGATATCTCCTTGGGAAAAAGTACATTTTCACTCTTATCTTACACCATACACAAAGCTCAATTCCAGATAAAGATATGAAAGGTAAAACAGGACAGTTTTTAGAAGAAAGTACAGAAGACTATATTCAAGTAAAATGTTGGCAAGGACACAACTCTAAATGTAAAGGAAAAAGTGGGTTAAGTGAACTATAGTTAAGATCTTCTGTTCATCACAAATTACCATTAAGAAAGTGAAACAGCAACACCAGGTGAGAGAAGGCAACTTAAAATACACATACTAATTAAGAACTCATATCCAGAATGTTATAAAGAACTCTCGCGTAATTAAAAAATAATAGACAACCTAGTAGAAAAATGAGCAAAAGGCTTGAACATTTACCTCACTGGGTATGAAATAGAGGGTATCTAAGTGGCTAATTAATATGAAAATATACAACTTGATTAATTACTAAAGAATATGAATCAACACCAGTGTGATATCCCAATATGCCCACCAGAATGGCTTAAATTACAAAAAACACCCAAGGGTTGGCATGGATGTGGAAAAACAGAATACTCTTTCTTACTGTGGTGGGAATGTAAATCACTATGGAAAACTGCTGATATTATCTGCAGCTGAGTATATGCACAACCTGTGACCCAGCAGTTTCAGAAGTTAGGGTAGCGTAGCCCTTGCTGGGTTCTGGGTGGGTGGGACTAGTACTGGAAGAATGACGTTCGTGCTGAATTTCATTGGTGTGTTCACTTTGTAATATGTGATAATTCATTGAGCTCTACCCTTCGGACTTATGTGCTTTTCTGTGTATATGCTTCAAGAAAAGGTCAAGCATATATATATGCTGAGAAGTGACTAATCTTTAGCTTTAGATGTTTACTTCTGGCTATTAAAGATGAGAAAAGAACCTTTTTAGATTAAAAATTACTCATTAAGTAGTTGGAGATTAGTGAAAGAAAATTTTAGCATAAGGCGTATTTAAGAAGACCATGCACGTTTGCATAAAATATTTTTACTGCATGTTAAGACCTTTTGTCTCCTAGGTGCTGGACTATCTCATCTTGTTCTTACTAGAAAACTTTGGTTACTTGATTTGTGAATTTGGACCATAAATCTCTGTGAAGACCTGTTTAGTTCGTGATTACAAAGTTTCACATGAGACTTCTCTGCCCATCAACACCAGGGATTTTTTTCTTCTCTTAATTTTTTCTTCTCAGAGGAAGTAGTGGCAGAGGTGGCCATTTGGATTTCTAGGGCAGGGGTCAGAAAACCGCAGCCTGTAGACCGAACCTGACTCCGTGCTTGTTTTTGTGAAGTGTTACTGAAATACATACTCATTCTTTTACTTACTCTTTCTGGATGCTTTTAGCTATATGGGGAGTTGAGCAGTTGCGACAGACCTCTGACTTGCAAAGGCTAAAATATTTAACTCACTGGCTTTTACACCTGTTCTAATTTTCTATTTCTGGAGTACTCTTTCATGTGGATCCTACGATTTAAGAGCCTTTGCTGTTGGAAATGATAGTCACTTGCCATGTGTAGCTATTCCAATTTAAAGTAATTAAATGAAATTCAAAACTCACTTGTATTAACCATATTTCAAACGCTCAGTGGTTGCATGTGGCTAGTAGCAACTGTATTGAACAACATAGGTGTGCAATGTGTCCATCATCCAGAAAATTCTCTCTGACAGCCCTGATGGAGCTACTTGGTTTCTTTATTGTTACCTTTATTGATAAATTCCTGCTGATGTGCCTGCTTCCTTCACTGATCTTATTTCTCTTTTTCTCTTTCTGTAATTTCTTTCCATTCTCCTAAGTGTGAATCCCAGTTTATTTAAGTATTAAATGTATTAAATTTTCACCATATTGTATATGTTTTCTCTAGTCCACCAGGAAGATTATAAAATGCTTAAAGGCAGGGACTGTGTTCTCTGTTGATTTGTACAGGGCTTGCACATAATAATCTTTGTCACTTATTAATATGTACTGGATCTCCCTAAATAGTGCAAAATTATTTCCTCTCCCACCCCCCAGGTATAACGAACTGTAAACATCCAAAAAAAGAAAAAGCAAAAAGAAAAAAATGGGGGAAAAGAAACCAGAGCCTTTGGACTTCGTGAAAGATTTCCAGGAGTACCTGACTCAGCAGACCCATCATGTGAACATGATTTCCGGCTCAGTTAGTGGGGACAAAGAAGCAGAGGCTCTTCAGGGAGGTAGACTCATCTTAATACTATTAAATAATTAACTCTTCATAAATACGTTAGTGTTGGTGTGTGGTTACCCATACTTTGAAGACTGCTGCTGGCTAATCTGGGTCAGTCATTCTGGGTTTTTTTCTCCTGGGAAGATACAGAGCAGGGTTTTTTTTCTTCTTCTTCTTTAAACATGTGAGATTTTTGCTGGGGGAGAGTGAAGCTCCCCAAAGCTTAGCATGGTCTAGAGATGAATTATGATTTTGTTGGAAGCTTAGGTGTCCTGCGTCCTCTAGGTTCTCTTAGCTGACAACAGACACAAGGAATCCAAAAGGAGTCAAGTAAAGGATTCAGCAATCAGGAGATCTGAATTAGACCTGGGACAGAATAGGGGTTCTCTGTTTCTGCTCTCTTAAAATGAAAAAGGGCTGATCATGTTTACCACCCAGGGGGAGAAACCAGAATAGAAAGAGTGCCCGACTTGAGCCTGCTGCAGGTAGACCTGGGTGGTTTCCTGAACTTACCTCAGCAGTCAGCATACTGCAGCCCGTGGGCCCCATGTGGACTGCTGTTTCTGTACAACCTGAAAGCTAACAGTGTTTTCTAACATTTCAGTATGGTTGGAAAAAATCTAAAGAATAATGTGTTAACATGAAAATTATATGAAATTCAAACCAGCATCTATAAATAAACTTAATTGAAAAATAGTGACACTTGGTTACATAGTTTTTATAGCTGTTTTTATGCTACATTAGCAGAGTTGAGTAGTTGTGCTAGAGACCGTATGGCTCACACAGCCAAAAGTACTTACTGTGTGACCCTAATAGAAGAAGTTTTTTGACCCCTGACCTTCATGATCAGGCCTTGTAGCCCAGGGCCAGCAGCAGAGATCAGGCATCACCTGGGAGCTGGTTAGAAGTGCAGAATACCAGTCCCCACCCACCTCTACTAAATCAGAGTCTGTATTTTACTAAGCTTCCCAAGTGGTTAAAATACTCATTAAATTTTGAGAATCACTGGCTTCTGGGAGAGCAGTGGGGGAGAGGGGACACTGAACCTTGCTGTCCCTCTCATGCAGTGGCACTGCTGGGTACTGAACTCAACACCAATCAGCAGAATCACTTCTCTTCTGGTGAGGGTGGAGGACACAGTGGGGTGGGCACTTCAGCTGCTCAGGCCAGCACTGCTACCTCCTGGGGCTGGAGCAGAAGTGCTTTCCCAGGACGCTCTAGGAATAAAAGTTGCCCCTTCAGTTTCTTTATCTTTATAAGAAGTCTTCAGATTAGACTAAAAAGCAAAGAGCTCAACAAACAGCTCACAGATTCTTACAGTTCTAACATGCAGAGGTATCAGATTAAATACTTTCCTTTATGTGCTTAATTAGAATTGTAAGATCCTAAATAAAACCAGAATCTAGAGCTTCTGTATAAACTTAGTGGAACAGCGCATACGCCAACATTAATTGCTTTAGACTAAAGTAAATAGGGTTAGGATTTTGGCAGACTCTCACGACTGCCAATTGAAGTGTTTGCCTAGAATCTTAAGTACGTGTGTGTAACTGTGCCATCACTATTTACTCCCTCTTGTCTCCTCACCTGTCAAGTAAGGTTAATACTGTTTTCTTCAGAAGCATGTTTAAGACTGTAAACTTTGTGTAATTTGAGCTCCCCTTATAAAAGGTTTTCAAAAACAATGTAATATGCTTTTGTATAAAATTAACCCCAGTTCAGAAACTCCATGTTTTATGAATTTAACTTTTGTGATAAATGAACTACCAATTTATGAAAGATTGTCTGCCACTCAAGACTAAAATGCTAAATTGAGTTTATTCTGAGATACATAATTTCCTTTGCTGTATTTTATTTATAGCTGGAACAGATGGTGAGCAAAATGGACTTGACCACCCATCTGTTGAAGTTTCCCTGGATGAAAACTCAGGAATGTTAGTAGACGGGTTTGAAAGGACCTTTGATGGGAAGCTCAAGTGTCGGTACTGCAACTATGCCAGCAAAGGAACAGCCCGGCTTATTGAACACATTAGAATCCACACAGGTAATGGAGAAAGGTTGGGTATGGCTTTTCTTTGGGGGCAGGAGAGGGGCCGAGGAGGGCATGTTGATCTGTCTTATAAATAGTTCCCATAGTTTAAAAATGAAGGTTGATAGAAGACTTGAATCAATGGGAAAGTTACTCCATTTTTACAAAGCAGTAGCTTAACAGCATGCAAGCAAAGTAAAGCCCCTTGTAGAGCTTGCCCTTCCTTAGGGGGCAAGCAGGGGAAATGTTTCCATACAGGTGCAGAATATACTGCTAATCTTCAGGTCTCACCTTAGCCATCCCTTCTGCAAAACCCTCCTAACTGTACTCTGCCTTGGCCCAAGACTAGATCAAGTGTCCTTTCCGTGTGCCCCATGGCTTCCCATGCTGTGTTGAGGTGGCCTGAAAACCTCTTGAGGACAGGGATCGTGTCAGGGCTGTCTTTGTGCCTCCAGAGCCTAAAACATGGTATGTACTCAGTACATATCTAGTATATATCTATTGAATGAGTGACTCCAAGTCTCATATTCCAAATATTTATTTCACATGTTGGGCCATTCTCAACTAACAGCACTAACTAAAATTGTCCCTTTTGGCAATTGAAAAGGAGAGAGAGGTACAGATGAATTGCTGGCAGTTTTGAAGGGACATGTTGTATAATTCATACTTGGACCAGGAAGCCTATTTCCATTTTGAGCTTTCTGTTTTTAATATAAAGACTTTGTAAAAGGTTTTTTGGTTTTTTTGTTTTCTTCATGAGAAAAGGGTATTTGTGTGTGAATATGTATGAATAAGTCTTCATGTATAGATGTGTACATAAACATATAACTGAGGTATATTTTTGATAAAAATATTATGTAGGGAGCATTACTGTCAGTTGTGCTATTCTTTCCCCAAATGCCAGGTGAAGCCATAACAATGTTTATATTACATTGATTAATGGAATATATCTGGATATCTCTAATTGTTGCTCTTGAGTTCTTAAGCTTGAAGTTTGCAAGTTTCTTTACAAATTTTAATTATCTTTTGTGCAAATGTGAACTTCTGAAAAGCACTTTATTTATTTTTAATTTTGGTATCATTAATCTACAATTACAGAAAGAACATTATGTTTACTAGGTTCCCCCCTTCACCAAGTCCCCCCCACATACCCCTTCACAGTCACTGTCCATCTGTGTAGTAAGATGCTGTAAAATCACTACTTGTCTTCTCTGTGTTGCGCAGCCCTCCCCGTGCCCCCCATGCACTATACATGCTAATCGTAATGCCCTCTTTCTTTTTCCCCGCCCTTATCCCTCCCTTCCCACCCATTCTCCCCAGTCCCTTTCCCTTTGGTAACTATTAGTCCATTCTTGGGTTCTGTGATTCTGCTGCCGTTTTGTTCCTTCAGTTTTCCTTTGTTCTTATACTCCACATATGAGTGAAATCATTTGGTGTTTGTCTTTCTCTGCCTGGCTTATTTATACCCTCCAGCTCCATCCATGTTGTTGCAAATGGTAGGCTTTGTTTTCTTATGGCTGAATAATATTCCATCGTGTATATGTACCACATATTCTTTA